ATATTTAAAATACCTCAAATATTCAGAATTCTCAGAGGTGAAGGTGTGCCCCAGTAGATACTATTTCTGATGAATAAAATATCCTTTTAAATTCAAAAAGTAAAATCTAAAATAATAAAATCAAAACTGAAAAAAAAATATATAGTACACACTGCTCTACTTCTTAAGGTGTAAGGCATTAGATTCCAAAAGCTGTCTCTTTTGGTTCTTAGCAGCCTTCATAGAGGCAGGGATTCTTATGCTGTCTTTGGATGAAGAAACTGTCCACATTCACTTGGTTATTAGTGCCAGAATCAGGATGAGAACCCAGCTTCTCTGACTGGGGAATGAATGGCTTATGGATTATCAAGCATTTTCACAGTTGTTATTAAATTACTGTAGTGGTCTACGATGCAGGGACTTTTTATTTTGTAGGTGCTACTGAGGGCACTTGGCACTTATTTATAAGCAATGATTTTCTTTTTGTAATTCTTCTGTCTGCTTGTTTCCCACTTTCTTCTTCATTGATGGATTGTCAGCTGTCTACAATTTCTGCTGCTGTTGTATTCCTGTTTGAAGGAGGTCTCCCTTCCTTCTGGTTGGCAGCTACTGATCCCTGAACAGTTCACCAAATTTGTTATAATTTGTAAATGAAGATACCAAATGAGGATAAGTAGAAGTAAATGAAGGGTTAGACTTGAGCTTTGTGCCATCTACTTTAATTGCTTCTGGATTCTCATCTGTATTCTATTTTTATTCAAATGGAGAATGCATGATCTTAGAACAAATTCCATAAATTTTTATAGGTAATTCAATTTTTATATAGGAAAATTTAGACTTTTTAGGTCATAATGCAATTTCGTAAACGTAGGATTGCTGAAATGTTATTCTTGTGTATTATGTCTCTATCCCAAATTTGAAAAATTCCACATTCTAAGTCTCAGTTTTCAAAATGCTATTTTGCTGATCTACCAAGTTATTCATGATTTTAAGAATGTTTGTGGTTGTTGGTATTACCACATAGTCCATGAATTATTATTTCCACGTTCACAAGTAAGGTGATATTAATTTGTTCTAACAAAGTTTTCTAATGAAGTTTACAAAATTTTAATGGATATGACCTCCTTTGCCCCTGTTTTCATTTACTTCTCATTGCTAGTTAAAAAAAAAGGAAAGAGCATGAACCTGCTAAAGATACTAAATATTTAATTATGTTCTTATCTGGGTTTTTTTTAATGTCAGAATTGTATTGTTTGCCTAATTGAGATGATAATCAATGGAAATAAGGACTTTATGTCTCATAATATTAAGGGCCTCTTAAGATGGCTGGTCATTTGTGTAGTAGAAAATAGAAAATGAGAATATACCCCAATCTAACTTTTTTTAGTCTTCCTGAAATTGCTAATTATGAAACAGACAATAATTGTATTCTTAAAAAAACCCTGAAAATGGCATCTTATTCTTTTCCCTTCTTCATCCTCTGCAATACATCTAAGGTTGTTAAATATTAATTTAGTTAGTACAAATATGATATTTAAAGTTAGAAATCTGATTAGCTAATACCACACCCTGAAAATTTAAGTAAAAATTTAAAATGATTATCATCATTTCTTCTTTTGTGAAAGATCAAGGAAGTGGTAACCTTGGGGGCTGGGGGGTACTGTCTATTAAACTAACATATAGAAATAAATTAGCCCAGGAAGTTGACATATCTCAGACATATCTGGTGTAAATGAATATTTCTTAAAAGATATTCTTTTATGTGGCATTTCTTGCTCCCGTTCAACCTTGTATAAGAGCAAAGATAAAAAAACCAACCAACCAACAAACAAACAAACCCAGTCATATCTTCCAGGAGCTTGTCATTTGGCAGCAAAGACAGACACATCCCTAAATAATTTAGATACTAAGCAGACTGATATTTATTCTAACAGAACTTTATGGGATATATTGTGAGGGGAAGGTGGAAACAGGAATTCTGAGATAGAAAAAAAAATCTGGGAAGGCTTCTTGGAAAAGGTATTATTTGAATTGAGTCTTGAAGGAAATGCAGTATTTTGGATAAGTAGCATTCCATAGTGAAAGAACTGTGTGAGTAAAGGATCTATAAAATAGCTTTTTGACACTTTCTGTGCTAGGTATTTTACATGCATTAACTTGCTGGATCCCAAACAGTCCTGTGAAGTAGGTACCAATATCCAATTTCACAGATAAGGGAAGTGAAGCTTGGAGAGGTTGATTTGCTCAAGATTATATAGATGATGGGTTCTGGAGCAAGGAGAGGTATGTCTGCCGGGCTCAAAATCAGGAGGTGGGAGTGGGGTCTGGCCTATTCAGGAAATGGTCAATGGGCCTGTAGGTATGAAGTATAGAACTGAGGAAAGGCTTAGTAGAAATTCGCCTTAACTCAGTCCAGCTCCCCTGGAGATTCTGCTCCTGTTGAAATGAGACAAGGCATTAAAATCTGTATGTTTAACAAGCGCCCTAGGTGATCTTCTGATCAGGCAAATTGGGCATACTTGATTAACCTGATTTTATGTATATAAGGCACCTACTGCTAACTGCTATGCAATTGTTTGTATAGAATTCCAAAAGAATTGGAATTTTTTTTTTTTTAAAGAGACTGCATGGTTTGCATTTTATTCTCTATTTATTGGGGTAGCACTTAAGGTGTATGAGCAGGGTAGAAAATTATTAGATGTTTATAGAAAAAAATGGAGTGCTATTTATAAGAAAATGTGAGGGTTTTTTTGTTGTTAAAATTCAAAATGTCCTTTTTTTTTTTTAACTTCCAATTTGGTGCTCTTAAAATGAGGAAAAGTTAACTTATTAAAGAGGTACCTAAAGAATTTATTTTGGAATGGAATCTTAAGTAGTTTTTAACATTTGAGATTGTAGTGAGAATAAGTATGTACGTTTTAACATGAAACATAACGATTACAGTGAATCCAATTTTTTTATAATGTTGTTTCTCTGATTTTAAAAGTAATATATATATATATATTTTTGGACCTCAGTGTTGATAGAAATATTTGTTTCCCTTTCTTCCTGGATCCCTTCTAACTTCTGACCCCCTTACTTCCTCCATTACTTTCAGCTGGCAAGGCTGCCTTTCATTTACCAGAGAAAATAAACACCATCACATGGAGACTATTTCAGCTTCCCAACTGAAACTGGCAAGTCAGCATCCACAACTGCACCATACTTTGGAAACCAGTTTTAGGAAAGAGGTATCAAGCAAGGTCATCTCTCTCCATCTGTACCTTGGGTACCATCCCTTCCTGCCACCTCAAGGACCTTCTCTGCCCATTATCCCTTTACGAATTAGTCCCCCGTTCTCCATTTTGATTGATATGTGGACCTCTTTAAAGGAAAGAACTCTTGGGGATTTCCAGGGATGACTTAAACTTCTTAAATTATAATTTTAAAACAAAAGGTATAAACTTTGTGCTTTATAACTCTTATATAAGGTAAAAACAATTTTATAAATTAATACAAATAAACTACAAAATAAATTCAATAGCTGGTATACAACTATAAAAAGCACATTTAGAAATTAATACAAATAAAAGCTTAAAACATAGGCTATTCAAATGGGCATAGTTCAATGTGACAAGTGAAACTAAATTGCACCTTGAAAGTTTAAATATTTGACTACCACTGCCCAGGTTCTTTAGAGTTCTCCATGCATATATCACTCTGGGCCACTGGATGACTCACCTCCCACTACTCCTCTCTGTTAGGAATATTATACACTATAACAATGTAAGTTAAGACTTCCTTTAAGAAATTTGCTGTGGCTCTACATGCCCTGGGTATTGCATTAGAACTCTGTATCATCATACTTATCACCGTATGACATAAAATGTCCATTCATCTTTCAGTCTTCACCATCTGTCCACGTTGTTTAAATTGCATCCTCAGCACTCATCCAAGGAAATCATAAAATAACATTATATATTTTTATTACTTGCTTTAACAGAAACATTTCCCACATGCATTACTCTGAAAACATTTCTATTAACATCATGATATTCATATTACATATAAAGCATATTTCATTTTCCCCTATTGTTGAACATTTAGATTTCATTCAGCTTCTTTTACAGATTTTATTTGCATCCCTTATTTTTTAGAATGGGTCTCTAATAGATGAATAAGCGGGTCCTGAAGTAGAAATATAGTCTAGTGGTTAATGACTTTTAAGTTCAACTCTAGTTTGGTTTTGTTGCCTGCTAGCCATGTAACCATTAACAAGATGAATGACCTCTCTAAGCTAAGTTTCCTTTTTGTAGTATTATTGAGTATTTACTTCATAGTATGTGAATTCTTAGTATATGAATAGAACAAGTAATTAGAGCGACGGCTGACTCAATAAATGCTAGATATTATTTTGTACTTACAAAAAATACTTGATGTAGGTATTTGCAAATAACAGGTAAAATTTATCTGTTTATATTTCCAACTACTGTGATGACAACACTATCAAATTATAAAAATCTGAGTTAGAAAATGAACACGCAGTTGATTTTACAATATTGCCACCTATCTGAAGCACCGCTCTACAATATCTGCTTGGGAGAACGGTAAAAATGTTTGCAAATGCGAAACAAGAAGAAAAACAAAGAAACGATGTTACATTAACATCTAGAGAGTATTGCTTAAAAGCTTCCATTCCCTGCTTAGATGCAAATGCCAGAGGAAAGGTAGAGGGTAGATTTCTTTACCTCAAGTTAAAACCAAGCTGAGCGCCTCTGAAGCTTTGGACAGCTGTTCGGCGTAGAAATAAAGTGCAGATTAGAAGAAAAAAGGGAGAAAACTCAGTGGGTCTCTGCCTGTTTTTAGAAGTTACGCTGCTCCAAAGGAGTGCGCTTACGAGAGCGTAAGCAGCGAAGTTTTTCTACTTCCATTCCTCCGACGCGCCCTCCTAGAAATTTCAGCTCGCTGGCTCCTTTCCATCTTCCTCTTTCTTCGGGGGACGCTTCTCCGTCTCCCTGGCAACTCGAGCTGCCACCAATAGCAGCTAAGGATCAGTGGTCACGTGCCCTCTGCCCCTTCTCCCGCAGAGGCAACATGGCGGCCCCGGCAGGCAGTGGCTGGGAGGTTTGAATTACCGTACTTGGAGTTGCTGCAGCCCTGATGATGGCGTCTTCGGCTTTGTGCGGTTCGCGTCAGCTTCCCAAGGAGCTCCTTGGAGACCTCTCTTCACAGGAAGGAGATGAGGACTGTGATCTTGAAGATCATGTCAGCGACTCGGGTTCATATTCGTCTGCGAGTAGCGATTATGAGTAAGCTTCTTGAGGAGGAACAATTAAATCCTTCCCTTCAATGCAGAGAGTGTACACGTGGGCCGGGGGGATTGCAAGAGTGTTGGCATTTTGGGGATTGAGTGTTTGATTTACTATAGTAAGTGGGATTTATTTGCGCCATGTTTCGGTTGTGTGATGAGTCGTAGTGCCTTCTTTAGCACCATGATCTTTGTGACTTACCCTGAAGGGACACCCTACAGGTTTTATAGGCCTACTATTTAAAGGAGATTTTTTTTCCCTGTTAAAAATCAATAGATAAATAAAGAAAATCCACTCATAGTTTCACTATGGAGAACAACCTCTCCTAGTATTTTCTGAGTATTTCTGTTATATTTTTCTATACATCCTCATGGTTTTCATGTTTTCTATTTTATGCGGTAATGTAATTTTTGGAATACTGAATATCTAAGTATGATTTTTCACTTTTTAAATCCTTAATAATAATGACAAAGTTAGTTTGATTCACAGTACCCAGTGCTACTTCAGTTTTAAAGGAATGTATCCCTTAGTGTTATAGAACGAACTTTTTGGAAAAGTTAATGGTAATTTAAAATGACTAACAGTGAAAAGGTTCAGGTACCAAAGTATCAACCAACCCCATAGTGAACTGCCATATATAGTCAGTTTTAGGATATTTTATGTATATTTAGGAATAACAGTTACAAATATTTAACGTGTATTTAAGAGTAACAGTTATTTGCAATTATTTTCACCTATAGGTATATAAAACATTTTTATCATCTTTAAAAGCATGGGGGGGAAACTATCATTAATGGCTGCTCAATATGCTCTAGAGGCTTAATGAGGACAGATTATATTGAAGACATGAACAAATTTAAGAATATCACGTTCTGCATAATCTGCTATGGTCATTTAAAAAATAATTACAACATTCATGGTTATCAAGAGAAGCTGCTGGAAGGAAGTATAGATTACGTGGAACTCATATGGTCTTGCTATTGCTTAAACCATAGACAGCGTGGGACTAAAATTTTTGGTTTCTCTATATCTTAAAATCACAGACTTTTAACCCAGAGAGAATCTGTAATTTGCTGATGGTCATACAGCTGGGTGTTGTCAGTGTAGGATTTTAGGAGACCTGATTTCAAATGGGATGCCCTGATTTTGGTGGAATGAAGACAAATGAGCTAGCCCTGTTTCCTAGAAAACAAGCTATCTGAGGACCTTGTGTTAGAACTCATTACTTCAAAATACTTTGTAATTCAGAATACATGTGTATATATATTAAATTTTGGGTTTTTTTTTTTAAATGGTTGTTAAGCTTGCTATGCCATTCACTAATCACTCCAGTGTCTTTATTCTCCTAAGACTAAAGTACAGTAAATCCCTATTATAAAATGTTTTGCTGGTCTATCTTTCGAGTGCTGCCAAGATTCAGATTTTATGACTCTCCCTTCATGGTGCGTAGGACGTGAGAGTTGATTTGCTGGCCTGACCATGTAGGCTTCTTTTCCTTCCTTATGGTATTAGGTTCCTCTTTAAGCTGCAGTCACCAGTGCAAGAAGTGGCCTTCCTGGCTTGGACAAACCACTCTTTGATCAAAAGCATAGAGATGTGAACCTAATCTTTTTTGTCAAAGCTAAGAGATATGAATTGTCTACTGTCTTTCATCACTTACATGAAGGTTATTAAGGGATTTATGTTATTTATTTACATACAGTATTCTGAACTTTCAGGCTTCTAGTTAATCATCTGCATATTCTTTCTGGAAATTACTGTTTTAAATGTGCTTTGCAACTGAAAACTGATTTGATCTTCATGTGATCGTCAATACAGAATAAGTTTATCATTTTTGAGGTAAAATTACTTTAAGTACATTCTGGTGAAGTACTTTTAATAGGTTTATTTAAGACATATGTAAGAGGAAAACTAAATTAGTGCAGTATATCTTAACCTGGCACATTGGCAAGTCCTGGGGAAATTTCAGAGATGGATGGGTTGGATTAAGGGAACCAGTAACTAGTTTCAGTACTGAAATAACAGAAATCATGCATGTACTTGCAATAAGCTATGTTTTTTTGTTTTGGTTTACAATTGTCCGACTTAGCGAAGCAACCTTGGTTAGTTTATGCTGGCCAGAGTTCTCAATTTTATGACTTAGCTTTTTGATTTTTCAAAGTGAATTTTCTGTTGTTGTTACTTTTAAAACCTTGACTGATGGAGAGAAAGAGGAAGACTTTTAAAAGAATTTAGCTGTAAAAAGCTAATAAATTTCCACTGAAAATAAAATGTTTGGAGAAATATGTCCTTTACACACATTTAACGTGTGCAATTTCTTAAGTGTATACATCTATCAAGATAATGAACATATGCATCTCATCCAAGTTTCCCCAAGTGCCTCCTTAAGACTACTCCTGCCCCCTCATTCCTTACAATCACTTAGACGGTGTCACTAGAGATGAGTTTGTATTTTGTAGAGTTTTATAAAAATGGAATCACACAGTATGTACTCTTTTTTTTACCTTTTACTCAAGAGTAATTATTTTGAGACTCATCCATTATGTCACCTATATGTAGTTCATTCCTTTTTTTATTTTTTTCCTGAACAGTATTCCATTAAAGAACACACCAAAATTTATCTTTTTCTGGGGTTTTAACATGGGAATGTACTACTTGAAGAATCAAAATATTTCAAAGTCATGATCCCCTTTATTAACATCCAATTTATGATAGTTCTATTTTTCCTCTCCTACTCTGAACCCTGACATCTTTTGACTTTTAATTTCCCTTAAGTTATATAGATTAAAAAGGCAAATAGTATGTAACTAAGTTTATGATGAGAAATGGCAATTCTCTGCTACCATCTGTCTCTACTTCCAGCTCAGCATATTTGAAGAGAATTCATTATTTACCTGTTTCTCTTCTAGTTCACCCATCTCATTTACTAACTTTGCTTTCTCCTTAGTCATGTGTTCAGGTCTAGTAAGTCTCCAGTCCTGGTGACTTCCTGCTCTCCTTTCTCATAAGCACTGTGAGATGTGGTGTGTGTTGATAATGGAGGAGGCTGTGCATGTTGAGGGGCAAGGAGTATATGGGGAAGCTCTATACCTTTCACTCAGTTTTGCTGTGAACCCATAACTGCTCTGGAAAAAAAAAAAAAAGTCTACTAAATAATTTTTCTACTCTACTCAAAAGCTTGGTGGCCTCCCAAATAAATCCCAGATTCCTTAGGATGATTTTTAAAGCTCTTTTAGATCTGTCCCTAGCCTTTCTGATCTCATATTTGATGTTCTTCCTCTTATAAGCCACTGGTATTCCTACTTGTCTTAGCTAAGACTGGGCTATATTAAAAAAAAAAAATAGCATAGATTGAGTGGCTTATACACAACAGAAATTTATTTCTTACAGTTCTGGAGGCTGGAAGTCCAAGATCAGGGTACCAGCAAGGTCAGCTTCTGGTGAGGGCCCTCTTCCAGGCTGCAGACTACTGACTTCTCATCATGTCCTCATGCGGCAGAGAGGACAAGCAAGTTTACTTGTGACTCTTATGAGAGCACTAATGCCATTTGTGAGGGCTGCACCCTCATGACTCCATCTAATCCTAATTACTTCTGAAAGGCCTCACCTCCTAATACCATCACATTGGGTGTTAAGGTTTCAATGTGCACATTTTGGGGAACACAGGCATCCAATGCATAACATTACTGAAATATCAACCCATTCTCATACCTAGCATGTTCTGCCCTTGATGCTTATCTAAGTAGGAACCAGTGATGTGGAGCTAGAATGAGGAACCTTCCAGGAATACTAAACTGTGGGAGCCTTAATGGCAGCATCTAGTTTTGTTTCTGTGTCACCAGCACTAAGGCAGGAACCGAGCAAATAGAAGTCACCTCCGTTTATTGCCAGGGGTTGGAAAAGTACAGAAGTACAAGATCTGTATGTAATAAAGGTGTGAGTTTCTCTTTAGTTTTTACTCTGTAGGGCAAGAGGAAGGGAAATGACATTTAGTTGACACTTAACCATGCCACGTGCATTATTTTATTTACTGCTAACAGCCCCATGAGGTAGATACAATCTGTTTTCTAAAAGAGGAAAACTAAAGCTTGGAAAGGTAAAAATCTCAATAGAACAGAATTTGAACCAAGATCTTCGTGACTTCTCGGTTTTTTTTTTTTTTACTATACATATCGCCTTCCTTTGCAGAGTAATGTTCATTTCATGTCTTTGTTCTTGTCTCTTATCTCCTTTTTTTTAAAAATTCTTCCTCCTAAAGTGAAGTATTATTTAAGATCTAGTGGTTAAGAAAATGGATCTCATTCATTGCTGGTAGACATGTGAATTGGTATAGTCTTTTGGGTAAAGATCTATGTATGCATATGCATGTAAAGAGTTACAGTATTTGTCCATAAGGGCCAAAAAAACAACACAAAGCTTATCAGTAGGTGAATGACCCAATGTGTTACATCCCCCATAAGGACCATCCATCATTACAGGTTTCTAAATTGTACTGTTAAGTGATAAATGATTAAGATACGCACGTGCATGTGCACGCACACACACACTCCACTTTTTAAAAACAATGACAAAATAACCCTATATGTTTTTATGATTCAAAGAACATGTATTTTTAACATCGTCTGTGTCAGTGAGAGGTAGGAAGGAAAGATGACACGTGTGGTATTATGTTCCCATTTATGTAGAATGAATGCGCATACATAAAGGCTATATGAAAATACAGTCATCAACTAGAAATCTACTCAACAGTAATCCTTTCCTCTCTGTCATCCTCTCATCTAATCAACCTCAGAGTCCTGGTGACTTTCAAGCATTTCTCACGTTTTTTATACTTTCCATTTCTTCTACCATTGCCTTTGTTATCATCTCTGCCTAGACAACTGAAACAGCCCCCTAACTGGTCTCTTTTCATGAATCTTGTCCAACTCAATCTTGTCCTTCCTCCATTTCCTTGTCAAAGTGGGTCTGTCCAAAGATTTCTGATATGTAAACCTAAACTCTTCATCGATACCCTCTTACCTACAATACACAATCCAGAATCTTTGCCGTGGTCCAAAAGGCCTTGCAAAATTAGGACTTAACTACTTCTTCTGTCCCTCACCACCTCACAAATTATCTTGTAACTTCAACTAGTTTTAATTGTCCACTCAGGGCTTTGCCTATGCTGTTACTTCGTTTTGGAATAATCTCCTCTTCTCCTTCAGCACCCAGGGCCCCCTACACACTTATTCTTTTAACAAGCACTTCTAGGGACTCATCTACCAGAAGGTCTCCCTTGACCTCACCCTCACTCCAGGCTAAGCTAGGTGACCTTTCTCTAGTACTTACTGAGTGTACTGTCATGGATTCTTTCTCAGTTTCTCTTCTACACTGGACAAGGGAAGGAACTCATGTTTTCGTCATTGTAATTCTAGTATTTACTACAGTGCTTGGTACTATTTATTTGCTCTACGATTGAATACTACCCCCTGTCTCTCCCCTTCCCCCCGCCCGCCATGGTTCTTTAAATCATAACCAAAAAGTGTTTTTACATTCAAATTTTAGAGATGAAGATGAACTGTCTTTATTTAGCAAAGGAGGGAAATATTTCTTTGGGGTCACATATCTCTAATGTAAATAATATACCAGATTAAAAGTGCAACATTTTAGATTAAAAGCAAATAAATTTCATTTATTGCTTAAATTGATATATATATTCATAAGTAATTGTGTAATCATGATATTTACAATGTGCCATTTCAAATTACAGTACATTGTTATCTAAAATTTTTATGGCAGAGACACAGTTACTTAGACTCTTCAGAGTAGAGCTGCAGTTATTAAAAACAGATTTCTGTGGGTACAGATAAGGATGGTTGAAACAACTGATATGTGATTAATAATCTTCAGTAAGTGGTGCTAAGCGCCAAATGTGATGCCACACACTAGGAACCCATAAATGCCAAGAAATACTAGTTTTGCTATTTGGGGCTACTTATGCCATTTTTCACCATCCATATACAGTTGAAAATTCTATATTAATTACCACAAATCAGGGCAGTAGTTAGTTTCAGAGTTGAGTAATAGTGCATTTTTTGGATTAATTTTCACAGTGTTTAGAAAGAGCCTTTTAAGTTAAAAGAACCAGAGTTGCTAGCAAACACTGTGGAAAACCGAACTGTCTATCTAGCTGAATGATTAGAACACAGATTATATCCTTTCCTGCCAGGGTACTACAGCTCATATTTCTGGAAAGACTTTCTCCCAATGTCAGTTTTCCACATAACAGTTTTGCTTTAAATAACAGCGGTTTGAAAGGTAAACTGTTCATAACATTAAACAGAGTTTGTCATTAGGTTTGTTACCTTAAGATGAGTATTTTTGTTTTTTAATGCTGTTTCAGTTATTTTGATAGGAGTAATTTTGTTTTTCAATGGCCTACTTCCTAGTTAAAAGTTTTTTTTTACAGTCACATGATGAATTATGTAATATGTGGTTTACTTTTCCTACTACAATTATTTATAAAAATGGGTTTTATAGAAATTATAGGCTATAGAAGTGATTGTTATTAACTATGATTATAAACTGGTTGTTTTCAGCAAAGATTTTTATTCATGGAAAGGGTAATGTTTCTCTGAAATTAAAAAAAAAATAGAACTTTTACGCCTCCCACCTCCCTGCACCTTGCCCCCACCCTCACCATCATACCAGAAAGACATAACTGTTTTTCTTTTCTTTGGCTGCTATTCAGATTATCATTTTTTTTTTTCATAGTGACCTTGAACCTGAGTGGCTGGACAGCGTGCAGAAAAATGGAGAGCTGTTTTATTTGGAACTGAGTGAGGATGAAGAAGAAAGCCTCCTTCCTGAGACAACTGTTGTGAACCATGTCAGGTTCAGTGAAAATGAGATCATTATTGAAGAGGATGATTACAAAGAAAGAAAAAAGTATGAACCCAAACTCAAGCAGTTTACCAAAATTTTAAAAAGTAAAAGACTTTTACCCAAGCGCTGTAATAAAAAAAATAGCGATGACAGTGGGCCAGTCTCCATTCTAAAGCATCAGTCCAATCAGAAAACAGGAGTCGTTGTCCAGCAGAGGTACAAAGATGTGAATGTTTATGTGAACCCCAAAAGGCTAACTGTCACCAAAGCCAAAGAGCAACTTAAGCTTCTGGAAGTGCTGATTGGGATCATCCATCAGACCAAGTGGAGCTGGAGAAGAACTGGGAAGCAGGGCGGTGGAGAGAGGCTTGTGGTCCACGGCCTGCTGCCAGGAGGATCCGCTATGAAGAGTGGTCAGGTGTTAATTGGTAAGTGCTGCTGGTGAACACTAGTCCTTGCGTGCTGATAAGAGATTAGTGATGCCCTGAGGAGAGTGACCAAACCAGCTATAGCTGAGTCGTGATTAGTGATGCCTTGGGAGGAGAGTGACCAAAACAGAACTATAGCTGGAATCTCAACAGATTAAGGAGTGCTTCATGATATCTGGGACAGTAGTGTAATTGTTAAGGATAGTGTACTGCCAGACGTGATGTTCTTAAAATAAACACTAGGGGAATGAATGTATGTGGGTGCCTTGTTTAGGCCAGGGAACAGCTTAACTAATTTCTAAATTTTTAATTTTATCTTGGTTATATTTGCTGACAAGTAAAAGAAAATAAGTTGATTGTACAGGATAATTTAGGGTTGAATGACATATCCGATTACATGATATAAAAATATAATTTATGAATAAAAATACTTTCAAATTATATGTTTGTGCTTGAGCATACTAAGTTCTTAGAGTGGCTTTAGCTGTTGCATTTGGCACATTTGGCGACAGTGGCATTATATATAAATTTCCTTTTAAGGGTGCCTGCCATAAAACAGCCCATCAATTTTGAGGGAAAAAAATACATAAGTTATTCTGAATGTATATTAAGATGAGCATTTTGTGTTACGGATAGATTTTAAGTTGGATATAACATTTAAATTAGTAGCAACTTAACTACTTCATTAAAGGTGAATTAGACAAATGTGGGACTATGTAATTAATGAAACTTAGAAGTATTAACAATGCTAAAAGCTGACAGTCTTAAATTGACCTAGCCTAAGAGATTTAGATAAAGGAACTTTTAGTGATACTTTAGAAACATTTAAAAATAATTTTTACTTTAAGTCTGAATTTCATTTGTTCACTGATTCAACAAATAACTTTGAGCAAGTTGCTGGTAGTCTACTTTTTGACCTGAGTGTGGTTTCATGGATGTGTTTACTTAGTGATAATTCTTTGTATTATACTCCAACAATTTGTGCACTTTTCTGCATGTGTATTAAATAAAAAGTTAGACAAATTAGGCTTATGATTTCAATTTGGTAATGGAAAAGTTTTTGATTTACTAATAAAAAAAAAAGATGATTAGAATAAAATGATTATTTCGTCCTTGGTGTACAGCAAAATGCTTGGCTCAAAATAAGCTCTCAAAAACATTTACTTGAATGAATGAATAAAGTATGTGAAAATAATATGTACAGGGAAAACAATTAGAAGTCAATATAAATACAGCAAAATGCTATTAGTGTTGAATTATTGTAGGGACATTATGGGTGATTATTTTCTCTTTTTCAAATTTTTAAACTTTACGATTATGTTTTATATTTTCAAAATTATATGCTTTAGTAATAAAGAATGGACAGTTTTAATATCATAGTAGGTTTGCTGATCCCCCAGGATGCTTCTATGATGGAAATTTCTCCCTTGCTTCTTTCATGGTTACCTCTCACACTGCAGTCTGTGATTGGCCTGTGAGGTAACCCCACCAGCAGGAGGATCATGCAAACTTCCCTAGTGATGTCATTTGCTGGGTAACTGCTGCCTGTGTCCAGCTGGGGCATGACCCGCCTTTGACTAAAGTGCCTTGATCAGCGCAGTGAGGCTGGTGACTCTTCCTTCTTTCCTTTCAAGTCAGCAGAATTCTATTCTATCCTCATTCTTCTGGGATCTTGGGAGTGTTGCTGCCTTTTTTGGTGTTTCTGCTACCAAGGACTTGCATCTTTGTTTTTTATATGTCTATTTGAGTTTTTTCAGCTGATAGCCCCTAGACTCCTGGAGCCAGCTCCTGCCCCCAGACCAAAGCAAGTGAAAGTCTTCCTTTAATATACATCCTAGAAACTGCATCTCACCTCAGTGATTTCTTTTTTGCTTCAAGATTACTGATTTTGGGTCATTTAACTAGTTTTTTTTTTTTTAAAGGATTGAAAAGGATAGGGTTAGAGAAATCACACATGAATGGTGTAGACATGCATACTCCCTGAAGACTGTTTTAAATGAACAATAAAACAAAGTTTTAATTTCAGGCTCTTTTTGTGTAAATTCTAATGTTCTCACCTGTGATCACTAAATAGATTTGTTTTGTATGACACACTTGTGCTGTTTCTCTTTTAAAATTTTTGAATTCTGTTTACTTTTTGAAAATCTTTTTGAGGTATAACATACATTCAGAACTTGCACAAATCTTAAGTGTACATTCGATGAATTCTGATATATGTATATACCTGTGTAATTACCATCTGGATCAAGATATAGAACATTCCCAGTGCTCAAAAGGCTCTGTGGTGCCTTCTTCCAGTCAACAACCCCTTCCAAAAATAATCTTCTAAAAGTCACAGGTTTTTTTGGACAGGTGATCTTGCCTCTTCTTGAACTTCATATAAATGGAATTATATGATGTGTATTCTCTTGTATCTGTTCTCTTTAGTTTATAATCTATAAGAAATATTCATGTTGTCACTATGTAGTATTTCATTGTATGAATATACACTATTCTACTGTGATGGACATTTTGGTTGTTTCCAGTTAAAATATTTGGTGGTGCTTTTTTTCTTTTTTAAATAAATTTGTTTTTCATGAAGACCGAATGTATGGTTTTATTCTCTAATATTTTGCATGTTGTTATTTGATGTACATTTTTATTTTCACCTCTTGTAATACTTTTAACATTTTGATTTTCTTAGTGAAAGCAACTCTTACTGTGTATGTTTGCCTTCCCTCTAACATGATTTCTTTCCCACATTTTTACCTGTGGTACTTTACCCATTAGTAAAAGGAAAAAACTGAAGCAGTGAGTTAATTGGAAAGACAGAACTTCAGAGTGTTTAAGCCTTTCTAGAGAGCTAGTGCAGTTACTTCCTTCGACAGATGTGCGCCAAAGGCATTGCATGACTTGTCTGGCCAGTCAGTGATAGAGCTGGGCCCACGTGCCGATTGCCTTTCATAGAGCTGTTTCACGTGCCATGTTACTCCCTTGAATGGGTGGGGAAAGGCCAAAGGATTTCCATGTGAAGCAAAAAAGAAAAATTATTTAATCTTTCCAAAACATAATTTGGAAATAATATTAAGCTTCAACAATGTAATATTTAACTCAGTTAGTCCATTCTGAGACATTTATTGTAAAGAAATAATCTAATACAGATCTGCAAACCACAGCCAGCAGGTCTATCAGGCCCACCACATATTTTTATACAGTTTGCAAACCAAGAATGGTTTTTTTTTTATCTTTTTCAGTGGTTAAAAAAAATCAAAAGAATATTTTATGACATATGAACATTATATGAAATGTAAATATCAGTGTTCATAAATAAAATTTTATTGGAATAGTTGAGTAGTTGTAACAAAGAACATATGGCCCACAGAGCATAAAATATTTACTTATCCAACCCTTTATAGAAAAAGTTTGCTGACCCTAGATGTAAAAGGAGGAAAAATTTTGCTTGAAAACATTTACTGAAGCATTTTTCATAATAATAAATAATAGCATGAAAATGTTAAATAATGATATAGTTATTTAAATTATAATTTAATAAATTTGTTACTCAACTGTTAAAATTATAATTCTAAAAACTATACACCAAAATAAAAATTCTTATTGAGAGGTTTAAAAGGAAAAAAAAAAATCCTTGATTCTTCATTTGCGTGAACATAAGACCAAAAATAATTTGCAAAAATAATCATGGCTATAGTGTTGGGGCCATCAATAATTTCTGCAACATTCCTGTAGTATTTTTATTTTAATTTTTTGTATTTTAATGAGAAGTAAAAACTGCACTAACTTGTCCAGCATCATTAGGGAATGTGATATTTTACTTAATCGAATGTTCTGAATGATAGTTACAATATATGAACTACCATTATTCAAGAACTTCTAGAATGGTAGGTTGGGAGGGTCCTCAATATTCTCTACTTTAGTACCTGCATATTATAGATGAGGGACTGATATTCAAGCTTAAAAAAATACAATAAAATTCATTCTCTTAAAACTTAGGCATTTGTTAGTAAACGCATTGAGAGTAAATGAATTAACTTGAATAACATATCAATATGGTAACTATGTTTCAAAAACCAGATTCTCCCCAGCTCTGAAGTTAAACTGGGCTTAATTTAAATGATTAAATTCACAGTCTGATCTCACCCCACTGTTCCATACCAATTTCCCAGTCCTTCTCTGCATAAGCCCCCACTTCTTCTACCAAGACTGATTGTTTTCCCCGATAACTATGAAATGTTCCTTGCATATCCATATCTGTTCTTTAGCATTCATGGTCCTTGACTCTCAATTGGTGCTTAGCCAACATCAGTTTGTATCCTTAGACGGCTGTCTTCATTTTCTATTGCTGCTATGTCAAATTACCACAAACTTGGTGGTTTAAAATGGCATAAATTCATCATCCTGCAGTTCTGGAAGTCAGAAGACTAAAATGTTTCTTCATGTACTAAAACTGAAGTTTCCACAGAGCTGCACTCCTTCTGGAGGTTCTAGGGAAAATCCCTTTCCTTGGCCAGCTTCTCAAGGCCACCTGGAGGTTCTAGGGAGAATCCCTTTCCTTGGCCAGCTTCTCAAGGCCACCTGCATTCCTTCCCTTCATTTTCAAAGCCAGCAGCATATATCGTCAAGTCTCTCTGACTCTGACCCTCCTATCTACTCACTGTAAAGACCCTCGTGATTACATTGGACTCACTTTGGATAATCTCCCCATTAGGTCAAGATCTTTAACCTAATTACATCTGCAAAATCCCTTTTGCCATTAAGGTAACATATTCATAGATTTCAGAGATTAGGATGTGGACATCTTTGGAGGGCAATTATTCTGCCTATCACAGTAGGTTGCTGTTTCTTTGTAAAATACGTTTTAATTTTTTCTCTTTATAATAGTAATAAAATGTGTTTATTGTGTTCAGTTTAGAAAATGTAACTAAGAAAAAAGGATGGGAGGGAGGGAGGAAGGAAGGATGGACCCATACACCCAAAGGCAACATTTTAATATGTATCCTTTCTTTTTCCTACCTTGATGTGTAATAATTTTGTTTCAAAAGTCATTTCTTGTAATTGTATATTCATTTTGTTTATATATAGATAGAGCAGTAGGCAATTTTTGCACATATATTTTCATAGCCCTTGGTATATTATATAGCAGCCTTTCAGTAGACATTTGTTGTTTGATATTAAGTAGATGCTGAGAAATTGATGGGTTTTCTCAAATAATTAACTTTACATTGAGGAATTGATTTAAGCACTGCGATAAACTGATCTCACCTCCTGTGTTTTGATTCGTTATCTCTTAATAAAATTTTCCTCTTATTTCTACCTGTCAATAATCCCCAGACCATTTCTTATTTAACAGTTCAAATCAATTCATGCAGTTCATTTCCTTTCAGCCTTTGAGCTGGGACATTCATACTAATGACTCCCCTGCACTTGTTGCAAAAGAACTTTCCTGGAGTGCAGGCTGCCCACTGCAGTGACGTGCTATCCGGGAAGCCAGCCATCTGAGTCACTTCGGAGGTGTTCAGAGAAACCTGAGGAAAATAAATACCTGGGAGAATGAGAAGTAGATATAACACTTCTTTTATAGAAAGAGAACATTTTCTTCTAAATATTTAAAAAAATGAATACTACACTTACTCTAAAACTTATTTTCATATCTTTTATATGTTTCCTACTTTTAGAGGTTTATTAAACGTGATGCTTTCAGGTGATACTCCCTATAACACTCAACTGTATTCATTTGAGTTTGGAGAATAAAAGTCATTTGGGACATAGTCCAATGGAGTTTTAGTTTAAAGGAGCACGTGTCACTATTTAGGTGTCCTGATGATCTACCAATAATGGAACCCATGGATAGTATGGTCTAGAAGTGGTTTTGTTTTACATCAATACTTCGATAGTGTGTCCATTGTTCCTTTTCTTTTTTTCCCTTTTTTTTTAAAAATCACTATAGCTATAAGTAATTGGACATAGTACACTTGTTCAATCCTATTTTTTTAAAATGGGGGGTGGGGGGTTGGCATGCTGCTTTTTCTCCCCAGGTTGAACTGAAGTTGGAAGTTTATTTTAGCTTGCAAGTTCTTTTAACAAACGTCACCAGGTGTCTCAGGCAGCGGCAGTTGACCGTCGTAAGGATGCAGTGCCCACACCTGCAGATCTCTCAGCTGAGCAGCGTTTCCTGTGCATCGAAACCCAGTGCAGGCCTTGAAAGCCTGCTGGGGATGGCCTAAGACACTCCTCCCCATACAACAGGATGTCGAGGAGAGCAAGGAAGGAAGATGGAGAGGGAAGAGGAAAGGATAGCAGTAGCTAAAGGAACAGCATTTTCACCTGTTCCTCATACATCATTCGCACAGGATGACAGAAAGATGGCCAGGTGACACCTAAACACATACCTGTAGTGAGCTTCATTAAAGGGAGAGGAATTCTCACCTTAGAGAACATGAACCTTTTATAAAGAGAAATTATTAATAATAAGATATTGGGGGAGACACTATGCTTATAATACTGTACATGAAAGAAATTTGACCTTTGCTCTGGAAAGAAACACCATCTCTGTTGTCCAAGGTGGTTTGCGATACAGATGTCCTTGAAAAGATAATCTAGAACAAAGGCTTTCAGTTCCTTGGTGTAGCAAGATGTACGGAAATATGAGAGACCGATGGAGAGCTGTCTATCAACATTTTATATATACACATGTTTCTTATCTATCTTCTCCAAAGAGTATTTAGCTCCATGTGGGTAGAGATTTTTGTCTGTTTTGTTTAATCCTCTATCTGCAATGCTTAGAACAGTACCTGGCACACAGTAGGTAATAAGTATTTGTTAGATGAATTAATGAATGGGTGAGCATGAATTATTTGATCAGTTTCCTAATGATATATATTTAGAAATGAGGATAAAAATATCTTTGGTATGCATATATTCCTGTTGATATAGCTTGCTGGAGCTTTGGCATTACTGTTGATAATGCTGTGAGAGAATATTTCCATTTTAACACTGATCTTTATTAAAGCCACTAAATTTGACAAACACATACATTTAAAGAAAAACTATGGCAAATGGGATTTTTACCAAAACATACTATGGATTTTTATATGGTGGGAGCTTTGAAACAAAGAGCTGTGTGTAGACAGATCGATAACTGAATACCACACCATAATGAGTTATGATGTACCACATGGATTTAATTAAAATTTCAGCTGAACTTTTTTACTGGGTCTAAGTGGTTGGATTCAATTTTGTTAAGTGCAATAGTTGGTTTATGCTACAAATTTTCCATTTGTCCTTTGGGTTTACAAAATTCTCCCAGTTGTATAAAAAGTGAGAATATTCATCTCTTTAAATATTCCGAGGTTGTATTTCGTATGGTGCAATGCTAGGCTGCGCCAGAGCTTAAGAAGGAGTGGGGTGGGGAAACACCTCTGCTACTAATGCGCTCATAACCGTGGACAATATGCCTGTACCATATTTTCCACTGTATTTTGAAGAGGTCAGAATACCTTTTATGTTCCAATTCTATATCTTTTGGGGCTTTAGGTATTCATACAACTATCTCTTATTGTTATTCTGTTTTCAGGTGATGTTCTTGTTTCTGTGAACGATGTTGATGTGACCTCTGAGAACATAGAGAGAGTTCTGTCTTGCATTCCTGGACCTATGCAGGTACGGACATTCTTTGGGTTTTATGACGAATTACACAAAATGAGTGCAACTTGTGCTATTTTTTTTTTAAGATTCTGGAAATTATGTATAATGAGTGAGTTATGCATACACACTTAGATATTTAAAACATTTTGGATCTTAACATTTTTAGTTTTGGGAGAGTGTTCAAAAAAGAGATGTACAAATAAAACTCATCCTAAGTAAGGCAGGAACAAGAACAGTAATAAAAACATATGTAATGATCAACTTGCCATTATAACTACCATTTGTGCTGATGAAAATCTAGTTTCTAAAAAGTCATTTTAAACAGTCATGGAACTTTTTATTCTCTGATTTATTAAAATCATTATTGCTATAAAGTTATTTTATGTGGTTTTATTTATTTTTAAAACTAATTATACTTTCTTGATTTTTCTGTTATCTAGTTACTCCTGAGCTACTTAGTTATTTTTTCATTCTTTGCTGGTAAAAGTAAATCTCTTCCGTAAGTTATTGTGATACTCTAAACACTGATATTTTGTATCAGAGATGACATTTTTAGGTAATTAGATGTATTGTGAAAGTGCCAAACTTCCTATTTATGAATGTTCTACTCTTGTTAGCATCAGGAATTAACTCCCTCTCTTTTGAGGTGTAGGGAGGATGAGATGATTCAGAGATCTAAGAGATTCCATCAGGCAGTGAAAGGGTGAAGTAGTTTATGGATTGATCAGGATGAACAGACTCAGGATTTTATCTGCATCGATTTGAGATTCTGAAATAATAGGAGCCATGATGAAATTCCTTGTTCTCTAAGAAATAAGATTTCTCTATGTTGTCTTCTCTTAACACACACACACACACACACACACACACACACACACCACACACACACACACACACACACACACACACACGGAGAGGGGTGTGGGGGAGGGGAGGAGGGAAGAAAAAGGATTTGCTCAGCTAAATAGATGCAATTCCTTCAGAATTTTGACTAAGGGATTGACAAAGCATCTGCCACGCCAAGAAGAAAGGGTCAGACATGCAGAAAGCAGCGAAGATATTGCGAGGCACAGGAGAGAGCCTGGTCTGGTCTGGAGCTGCTTCAAGATTCTGACAGCCTCCCCAGGTTCTGTATGTAGAGAGGATGGCATGGTAGCTAACAGGGAGAGAGGATGTGTTTCTTTGTCTGGCAGAAGTTAAAGAGACATTGCTTGTTGCTAGAACGGGTTGGATGGAGATAGAAGTAGAGAGAGGAGATAATAAAAGCAACATGATTTTGGCAGTGATAAGTTATGGAGAACATGTCCTTAGACCTGAAGAAAGGCACGTCGTCTTCTGAACTGGGAGAGAAGGGGGAAAGAAACGGTGAGCAAATTGCACAAATAAGAAACGGTTTTGAGGGAGACAAGAGATGAAAAATGATGAAACTTGTCACAGGTTAACGTCTGTGAAACAGGAAACCTTTTTTATAAGAAACTTTATATAAATTATATTAGATGTTTCTTAATGAACATTTTTTCCTATAAAACACATAATATCCATAATATGTACATATATCAACTCCTTTTTAAAATAGCACTTTGGTTATTACCTGTCTATTCTTTATTATTTTATTATGGCAACTAGATTTCCTGACATTTACATGTAAGCTATGTAACATGTAAGCTTTTTCAGTGTCTTGCTAAAGTGTAATTATCTTTGAATTATGGAGCCAACTTTACCTAAATCGGAAGAATGGCAGCTCAAACAGTTCCTTAAAGAACTTTAATGGATGGTTCTGTGGTGTGCGTGTTGGTTGGAGTTTTTGTTGGGGTCCAGGGAGGAGGGGAGGGTCCTCGTGCCACAGAAAAGCAGTGCTGCTGTGTGCCACGTGCAACACTGAATTAGTTTTCAAATGTGTCGTTTTTCACGAAGCATAGCAAACCAGTCTTAAATTTTAGGTTGCTGTTGCTGCCTAAAGTAAAATTGGTGAATTTTTATTTTGAGTTTCCCAGCTCATTTCCTTTTGTCAGTTCTGGTGAGTCACGCCCTAGCTTTTGACCTCTCCACCCACAAGAATCAGAGCTGGAAAAAATGCCTTCTGTGTTCTGAGGCGCCCTTCTTTTTCCAAGGACCCATCTTCCTCCTTAGTCACCCCTGGCATGCAGGTCTCACAGATGCTCCAGCAGACCCAGCCTGTCTCTGTGACACCTGCATTCCTAGGATGTCGCTCATCTTGTGCTCCTGACAAGCAGGTGTCTTCCCATCCACCCCACTCCTCCCCTACAAGCACAGTGCCTGGACAGTCTTCAAAGCTTTCATCTATCCTGCCACAAAGTCTGCACTCAGGATTTCCCCCAAATTCTTGGTTTCTCACATTTTCAAAGAACATCATCAAGGCTCCCATACATTTTCTTTTGGAGACTCCTAAACCCTCATTCTCAGGTAAAAGAACCCCCAACCACAGAGCCATTCACTTCATCAGATCCCTTTTCAAGGATTTTAGGTATTTATGCTCATGTTTATGTATACACATATTGAGTGTTGCCTACTAGAGCAGAGGCCACCCTCAGAACATAGGCTTTTGGGCAACATAACACATGTTGCTTGTTTGGGTCAAAACTGCACATTACATACTCTTTTTCACATCCTTCTAGGATCATTTCTAAAACAATTTTTTCAACTCTTCCTTACCTTTACCATATATTAATTTTCATCAGATAACTCTTGATTGTTCACATGTATCATCTCTATTTTTTTTTTATATTCTTGTGTAGTTTGCTTAATATCCGCCCCCCCAAGTATACTGATTTTATTCTCAGCCTTTTTTGATATATTGTTCTAATACCAAGGACCCATTTTTCAATATTGAGTTTACAGAAAACAAAAAATTATTAAAGGTTGATCTTTTCCATTTGGGACAATATTAAATGTCTTGTAAAGAAACATGATCATCAGGCCTCAGAAAAATTTCATGAAGGACTTCTCCCCCGCTACTCTTAGAATACTGCTAATCGTGACCTCGTTTATCTTTAAACACGTATTGGTGAATTTAGGCCTCATGTCTCTTTTCCACTTGTTAATAAAATGAACTTTGAGACCTATTTTAGAAAAGATGTTTACCTAACTTACTTCAGGTGAACCAAGATAACTTGGTGCCCCTGAAATGCCAGAGACAGCTACAGATAAGCAAAATTGAACACAGTCATAAACAGTTACTCCTTGCCAACAAAAAGAAGAAAGCTAGATATTTTTTCTTTTGGAAGATATTATTCCTCAGGGCAGATTTATTTTACAGTGTAACAGAAACAACAGTTGGATGGGCTGGTGGGATTATGAATGAATTTTTTAAAATAATGTTTAACATTTTTAGTAAACATATATAAATATATAAAGCTCATTCTTAAAGTTACTAATATGTTAGTGTTTATCATATATTTAAAGTCCTTAAAATGTAATAAATTGTATTTATTGTAATAAATATGTAAAAGTAGAGATGATTACTATCTTGATAATTTTTTAATTTCTCCCAAAATGCAACTTAGTGAATACAATTTTGTCTGCTTTTAAATACCGACCAGACTTTTTTCCCCAGCTTTACTGAAGTATGATTGACAAATAAAAATTACATATTTAGGTTGTACAATGTGATTTTTAAAAAATATACATGATTGTTTGTTGTACATATAGCGACAAGAAGACTTCTTTAGTCTAGATAAGCATGAATTTTTTTTCTTTTAAAATTTAACCTAATTTTAAGAGTCACTGCACTATAATGTTTAAATTTAAAATTTTATGATCAGTTAGAATGTGCTGCTTTACTCATTTGTATTCTGATAAGATTTTAAATAATAAGAATACTTTGTGCCTATTAGCTTATGATGATGTCCTTGCTACACAAAATTAACTATACTGAGTGAAAACTTCTCTCAGTCAGGATATACACTGGTGCTTTGAAATGAGCGAGTTACCTTTGGCCAGCTGACATCTAGCCCCGTATCTCAGTTTTCAAGGAAAGGTAATTGAGGAGTGGATGCTACCTTCCAACGACTGGAAGATGGCCACATTCTGGACTCTTACCAGTCTGCTTTGACATCAGGCCATGAAATAAAAATTACCTTGATAAAATTGATAGATAAGCTTCTTAGGGCCATAGTCCAAGATCCAGCATGTTGGTCTTTCTTTACTATCCTTGGCCTTTATTGAAAGGACCACAAAGAATGTCTAAGAAAAGAATATTTGAGTATCACCTCACTGGAAAGGAGTGCTAACTCCGGTGCTCTAGGATGGTGTCTGTGCAGACCGTGCAGACCTGAGTATGTGCAGGTACACAGCCTTCTTTGTGAAAACTGCAGCTGACTTTCCCTTGTTGAAACATCAACACACTGTTTTAATTTTTAAAGGTGAAACTGACATTTGAAAATGCATCTGCTGTGAAAAAGGAAACAATTCAACCACGACAGAAAAAGGCACAGTCTAACACAGGTGATCTAGTCAAACTTCTATGGGGAGAAGAGGTTGAAGGTATCCAACAGAATGTCGTAAACACTCCTCATATCGTTATGTATCTCACACTAGAGCTGGACTCAGAGACATCAAAGGAGGAGGTGAGTGTCTTCTCAAAAGTGCAAGGGCAAAAAGGAGGGACCTTTTCTAGTCTTCCAAGTGAGGAATAAGCACCTTTCTCAGTCATTCTCTTTTTTGGTTTTGGTGTGTCTCATACTTTTTTCAATTGACAAGCTTAGTAAGTCCATTTGTAGAGATCAGTGAAATATTTGAATTTGTTTCTTCTGCCTTCTTTAAAAAATTCTTTTTGAACTGATTTTCCATGATATTCTTCTCATCTATTTTTGCTTGTTTGTATCATTATTCTTGCTGTATAGTGATTACTCTTGAAATCTTACATTATATTTGTCTTAACAAATTCTAAAGTCTAACAGTATCTTAACTCCTTTTAAAATAATTCAAGGCCTTACTACACCTGAACTTCAGTCATCCCCCTCTTCACTTACATGCTGTTGTCATCAATATTTTGGTGCTGTCATTTTTTTAAAACACAAATTGGGCATAATTATCCTATTATTACTACTACTACTAATTATTATTATATTGTATAAATTATGAAATGTATGAAATATAAAATGCATGTTTCATATGTATTTCATATAGATGAACTTTCTTAAATTTACTTACATGCAAAAAAAATTTACTTATACGCTTACCATTTTCTTATTCTTGTTTCCTCTCAGACTGTCCTTACTTCATCATTTTTCTTCTTCCTAAAACATATATTTTGGACATTTGTTTTCAGTGAAAGTCTGTTGGTGATAAATTCTTTCTGTTGTTATTTATCTGATGTATTTTTAACTCCTCCTTGAAAGGCAGCTTTATAATTCTACACCTTATTAGTCAGGATAGGCCAATCATTGTAACAGACAACTCTAATGTGTCAGTGGCTTAACATAATAGAAACTTATTTCTCATTTCAACATAAATGTTTCTGGTCATGTGGCTCAGTGATTCGAGCCCTTCTTCTAGCGGTTCTATTATTCCCAAGAGCTTCAGAGTCTGCTGTTGCATCTTTTACCCCTAGTTGGCCAATGAGAGAAGAGAACGCATGCTAAATCATATAGCACTTTTCAGAGGCCTGGCTTAAAAGTAGCAACATCATTTCTACCCATGTTCCAGTGCCTAGAACTAGTTATATGGTCTCTTGATACAAAGAGGTAAGAAATGTAGTCTTCCTGTGTGGCCAGGAAGAAGATGAAGTCAATGTGGTATAGCTTAAGCCAGCTATGTAGACAGTTATGTTCTCTAATCTATTTGAAGATAACATTCTTTTGTCTTCTTACTTCCATAATTGCTGTTAAGAGGTCTACTGTCAGTTATTCCTCTGTAAGGAATATGTCTTTTATTTTCTTTGTTCCATTTCTTGCTTTTGCTATGTCCAAACTCTATTGTGTGTTCTACTTAAACAGTCATAGTTTTATTTTTAGAAGTTCCTGAAAAGATATTTAACTCATCTGCATTCAGATCTGTCATGATATTCCTGGTAATGTCTTGATGCTTGCTCATTTTAGTGATTCTATACTTATTTCTCTAAGAATTTCATACAAAGCTCTTCTCTATTCTGTATCTGCCCATCCCATTACTTCTTAAGTCCTGAGAGGACTCTGATGTGTGGTAGCTTGCCTTCTTATGTCCTTTGGGATCACTGACTAAACTTACTGCTTGATTTTATGTTTAGGAGTTCTGTGATTCTAAAGTGAGGATGCCTTCCTCCAAAGATAATTTGCTTCTTCTGCCACTGACCTAGGGCACTCAGTTTGACTCAGTGATCTGGGTTTAACACTGTGGTCCCAGGCTTAGCTCACCCACCAAGCAACTAGCCCAATGCTCAGTGGCCTGACTGAAGCTCTTATAGGCATCAGTCCCCCAGGCAACCCCGCCTCTGTCTCTCTGCCCACCGCTTACTGCTCCCCGCTGAGGCCCCAGCATGCTTTGCAGTGTTGGGGAAAGGGGTTGGAAGGGTGTAGAGAGAATGTTTTTGGAAACCTCTCTACTTCTTACATATCCAGCAGTTCAACAAATATGTTTGGCCATGGATCTAGTTGTTTTATAGCAAAGGTCTCTCAAATATCTAGTTTACCATAATGCTTTGAGCAGAAACAAGATCTAAAAAGTTTTTACCTAACTTACATGTCTTTGCTTTTGAAATCCTTGCAGCCTATATTCTAAGCGCCAAAGCCATTTTATCCAAGGTGTGTATTTCCTAGTGTTGCTTCTTTATATATCAAAAGTTAGTCAATAATTGAAATGGAAAAGAAGGGGCTTACTTATATGTGTTTTTGTAATTTTCTGTGTTCTGAAAAATACCTAGAGACCTAGAGGTAGTAATTCAAATTTCTTGTATGTATTATTAGTCCTTTATATTTTATAACAAATAAGAAATTTAAACATTTATTATATAAAACAAAACAAATTTCTGGGATAGTAGCACCCTGAATCTCTAGACTGTCAGAGTAGGATACTGCAGAGGCCTTTTGTCATCCTTGCCTTTCTTTCCATGGGAAAGTGTGTAGATGTTTCTCAGATGAACAGGCTTCATCTGTTGACAGCCCCGTATCAACACTGTAATCAAGAGAGGCTTTTTATTCATATCGAACAGAGTGGAAGCTGCTGCAAATGCATGCTGCTAACAAGTGCTTAAAAACACAGCTAATTAAATTGGTTAGGAACTGTAGAGCTTGCCAGGTCTTTAATAGTGAGGCTTTCTGGGATTGGTCGCTGTAGCAGTTGGAATAGAGGTTTTCTCAAATGACCCTTTTTTACTGTTATGATTTTACAATAAAATGTCATGGGGCCATTTTGTTTTCATGTGAGTTGTATATTGAAGAAAGGCTTGTCTGCTTTAAGTTACAAGACTTGGAAATTTCACAAAACGAATGAAAGAATATGGTTATGTGTTTAAAGTGGTATTTATTATTTGTCTAAATACAATAAGTTTTTTATTACCCAAGTTTCAAATGCATTAAGTAGATATAACAGACGATTTTAACTGATGTTTGACTTAATTTCTAGAAGTAAAATGTTTAACTGTTTTTATACTAGAAATATTGCAAGAAATTTTGAGTATTTGAGTTGTTAGGGAGATTGTATTTGGACAACATATTCTATAACAATTTGCATGTTTTGAATGTGCTTAATAAGTATAAAAAGCAGATGTGTCCAGTTTATCATTATTTATATTTGTCCTAATGTAAAAATTGCCAAGACATGGACACCATGTCACATAATTATTTCTTATAAAGAAAGACCAAAGCAAGGTTTAGAATACTCTTAAAGAGATAGAGAACCAAGGAAAAGATCTAATAATATTTTAGGAGTTTGGGCTTTCAGTAGTGGTTATATTAATATTTATGGATATTGTCATTAAATAGCATAAGTGGAAGCTACTCTGAATTCTCCATGGTTTCTATCTAGAAATTTTTATTTTGTCTGCTTTTAATATGCTTTGTTAAGAAAAACAGCATGTTGCTTTATATAACAGCAAAAAAGTGAGGTACAGAATGATTTATTCCTTTGTATAAAAGTTCTAGCACAATGCACATCCTAATTTTGAAATGTTATTTTATTTTGTAAAAATTTTGTTTCCTGGGAACATGTTCTTCTTGAAAATAGAAAAAAATATTAAGTATTTTGTGAATTATATTATAGGTCTAGTATTTGGAATGCAGTTAGCATTAACGTAATGGGTAGGTGTAGAGCCAGAGGAAAGAAAGAGCAATTAGGGAGTTCGTTTTATAAACTATATAAATGTCTAACTACTGTACTATACACTTGAAACTAATAAAATAAAATTTTTAAAAAACAAAATGTGTTCTCTTTTAAAGTTTTAATTCAGATTAATTTATGGCAGGCAAACTCTTTCAAATTTAAGACAGATAAGATTTTATAATATAATGCTTCTTTCCTCCTGTCTGCACTACTTTAATGTAGTTTTCTAGTCTCACTTTATAAGTTTAATTTGTCTTGTCTTGGATTTAAATATTTAATGACTCCACCAAAGATGACAAAGATCGTCTTTTAAAAGTCTGTATGAAAGTAACTAAATTTAAAGACTCCTTCAAGTTACATGTGGTATCTGTGTAGATATGTAACCATGGGGGATAAAAATACTGGTACATGAATGATAATATTAGTATTAATTTATTTTAAAGGAGATTAAAGTTTAAAACATTGTTTGAAATTAACTGAAATTATTCCAACTAGTATTCTACTCAGTATCTATTTTGGTATAATGACCAATTTTGACCATCTCTAACTTATTTTCAAGTGTATTTTAAATGTTACGTAATGTTAAAATTATAGGCATACGTTTCTCCTTATATTTGAACTAAACTCCTACTGAAGCTGAAAGGGTTCATTTTTTTTCTTTTATTAATACAAAGTCAGAACTTCCCATGACAAAAAAATAATGATTGGAAAATTTGGGAAGTATGATTATTTCTGTTTGTTTTCATTTAACAGCAGGAAATTCTTTATCATTATCCAGTATCTGAGGCATCTCAGAAGCTTAAAAGTGTGAGAGGGATATTTCTCACGCTCTGTGACATGCTGGAAAATGTAACTGGAACACAAGTTACCAGGTAATAATTGATTTTTAATTAGGTTTAATTTTGTTTCTTTCAAGTTATTCACCTTGGTTCTAACAAGCAAAATGCTAATATAAGTATCTATTATTCAAATATATTTGTATCTATAATATAAATATCTATATATATAGCAAATACAATATCTGTAGATATTTTGTTTCTCACATAAGTTATTTCCACCAGTCATCTATTTAAAGTGTAGGTTTTCAATACAGATAGATGTAGATCTCAGTGTCTTCGTACCTTTTAAATCACAAAGTTGGACAGTGACCTATACTTTAGGATATATTCACTAAAGTGATATCTCTTATGCATGGTAGTATGATGAGTCCTGGCTTTTTCATGTTTTATCTTGATTATTAACTTGCTAAGCAATACCTTTGTGGTTGATAAGAATGACTGAATGTTTATTTTTTTCATATACTTTTATAAGGATATACTTTAAGAGGAGTATTCAGAATGCAGTATCATCTGTGCACATTCATTCAGTGATAGATAAGCAAGACTGATATCAAATAATTTTTTTGAAAAATAAAATACACCATATAGTCAATTATACAGCAGAATATCCCATTCCACATTGACTTATTCAGCTCTGACCTTGAAATGCTGTAGTTAACTTACAGGAAGAGGGGGCTCAAAGCTTTTAAGTTTTGTTTTTGTTTTCTTTTTTTCCATCAAGTAAATCTATGGATTATAACTCATTTTCTTCCTTAATATTTCAACAATTTTTGATATAAAAAAGTTTATCTCAAATTTTAAGAGCCCCGTAATGTTGATAAAATGTCAAGTTGGATTATCTAGGTTTTAACTTTTCTTTTCCTATCTTCTGGTAAAATGATACTACTGCGGTTTTAAAAGTAGAAGCTCCAAAATGACAGGAAGAAAAATTTCCTTGTTTTTTCTAAATAAAAATCATGTTTAATTCTGGGACTTTTAATATAGTGTATATAGAAAATGTACATGCATTTTCATGATACTAGTAACTGAGGCTCCATTTAGTGTATATATTTTGTATACATTTGTATGCATAAAAGCATGCTGTAAGCCTCCTTTTATTTGTTTAAATAGCCTTATTGAGATATAGTTATGCATCATACAATTCACTGGTTTTTGTATATTCGCAGATATGCGCAACCATCACCAGTCAATTTTAGAACATTTGATCACCTCAAAAAGAAACCCTGCACCCTTTAGCTGTCAACCCACCTATCCCACCCCAAGACCTAGACAACTGCTACTTTACCTTCCATCTCTGTAGATTTCCCTATTCTGGACATTTCCTATGAATGGGATCATAATATGTGCCTATTTGTGACTTTCTCACTTAGCATAATGTTTTCAAGGTGCAGCAGGCCTCCTTTCTAATCTTATTAGAAAGAAAATTTGACTTCAACTTGTCTATGTGGGTTTGCTTTTAAATATAGGTAGAAAAACTTTTTTGGTGAAACAAATATGAAAATAATTATTTCAAGGATTCCTTAGCAATGTGCATACCTTTTGTTATATACCCTGTTTTAAAACTATAATGATATTAATGTCTGAATTTAAAAGAATTTAATATCTATCTAAAAGTATATGCATTTTTAAATGTAAGCCAAAAGTAATCTCCTTTATGAAAAATCTATTTAGCAATTCATATTTAAAACCCCACATACTTATCTACTGCAATATAGAAGATACACCATATCCTAAAGACTCAGCGGATAAAGATTGATGTATTTTCATTTAAAGTAAAAAAAAAAACACTAAATATAATTTTATTTTCTTCCCGCCACCTACCTCTACAACAAGAATCATTATGTCCTGTTTCCAGAGTTTGTGATTGTATCTCTTTTTAGAACACATTTGTTTCCCGACTTCACTTAAGTATAATAACCTGTACGTATGTAAAAATGTACAATTTGATCAGTTTTGACATAGGTATGTATAGTCGCTGAAACCATCATCACAACAAATACATCTATCACTCTAAAAATTTCCTTGAGAACACATTCAGATCTGAGTTATATTTTGGTTACTTATTTTGTATTTGTGTCCCACATTAAATTGTCTTGTGAGCTGGGACCCTATCTTCATTTTTTGGTAATCTCTTTTAGTAAATCATGTTCATATGTAGGCAATCAGAAAATATTAGTTAAATTAACACACTCAGATGGGAGTTTCCTTTAGGAAAAAAAATAGTGAGTGTTAGAAAAAGAATTTCGCTTTATTTATTTTTTTGCTGTAAGGGGTCTACTTTTGTTTGACCTCGGGGCTGGGGTAGGGTGGGTGGGTATGTGTGTGTGGATGTGTGCGTGTGTGCGCACATGTGCATTTTGAATATTTTGGAATATATTTTTGTCATACAATTCCTTGTCTTCTCTGTGTGGTGGTTAGGTATATGCCAAGAAATTTGCTTATTAAGTATGCAGTTCTTAAATCATACCATATGTAATCTTTTATGAATGACTTTATAATTTTATGACATTTAAAGATATTCTAACTTTATTTTTTCTTAGCTCATCCCTTCTTTTAAATGGGAAACAAATTCATGTGGCTTATTGGAAAGAATCTGACAAGTTGTTGTTAATTGGTCTGCCTGCTGAAAAGTAAGTTAAGATTTTTGTCTACCTTAAAATTATTTCTCAAATACTACTAACAAAGCCTGTTTCATTAAACTTATGACCTTTTTTGTCAAAATGTAAACTCCTTAATCAGTTTTACAACTTAATGGCCTGCTACACTACCATGATGGCTATGTATGTTCATTTGGTATGAACAGTGGATAAAGGGGCCAGAAAGGCCCCGCTGGACCAATCAGTTAGGGTAGGAGCTGTCAATCACGTTCCTCTGGGATATGGCCAGTTCAGAAGTGGCTGTTCTCTGCTCAAATTTTTGACAGTATCATGATTTGGATTTTGCATGTTTATAGTTTTTTACTGTTGGGAATTTTGGGAAATTAAGGGTGTTTGCTGATGTTGAGCACCTTTGGCAAAATAATGAATGCTTAATTCTAAAGAGACTTCTTTAATGGTACCTCTTTTTAGTATCATGGTCTCCTTCTTAACTTGTTTGCAAGTATTTTGAAATTATTTAATTTTAATAGTAGTAGTTAAGAGCAGGGTTGACATTGATAATGAGCTAACCATGAACCCAGGGACTGCATTAGGTACTTTACATTTGTTAATCCAGTTTCCAAAATTGGCTTCAAATGGACTTAACGATTACTGACCCCATTTTATCAATGAGGAAAGTAAAACGAAGAGAAAGTTATGTAACTTGCAAAGGGTCATATAATCAGCATGAGGCAGAACTGGAAATTTAAGGAGAGTCTCTGAATTCTTCCCTAATGTCGTAGAAAATGAAAGGCTGGGGGTGAGGAGTGGGGTGCAGAATGGGGCTGGAATCTAGAGAACAGCCCCAAGGAGATGGATTTAACTACTGATAGACTAGTCTACGTCCCTGCTCAATGATTTTTAAAACTTGGAATTTAGACTCTTGCCTACTTTAAAAAGTAATTTAGTTTTCCCTTCTGGTCTATAGAACCATCATACATTGTCTACCAAATAGTTATCAAACATCAAAATAAGTACTGTAGTGTGTGACTGATACTACTTTAGAGAATACTAGTTAGGACCAATTTTCTTTTGGTGTTGCCTTAAGCTTTCCAAGGAAGAGAAACGTAGACCTCAAAAATACGTTATCTAGCCAATCTGAACACGAATATGACTATTTCCTATTACTAATGACTTTGTTAATTATGTTTATTTTATTATATAAGTGTATTAGTTACTGTTCCTGCTTACCAAATTACTCTACAACTTAGGGAAGTAAAGATTTATTGTCTCAGGTAAACACCTGTGGGTCAGGAAGCCATGAGCAATTTAGCTGGCTGGTGCTAGCTGAGGCTGCCCAAGGCTGCAGTCAAAACGTTGGCTAGGAATACAGACTGAAGGTGGCTTACAGATAGCCATTGTGAAGATGCATCATTCCCTTGCCACATGGACCTCTCCATAGACCTGCTGGAGTGTCCTCACAAAGTATCAGTGGGCTTACCCCAAAGCAGAAAGGCCTTTTATGACTTATTCTTAAAACAGATACACTGTCATTTCTACCAGTACATTTGTTAGACTGTGTTACCAAGTCCATCCCACACTCAAGGGGAGAGAACTAAGTAAGCTCCACTTCTTGAAGGGAAGAGTATCAAACATGAACTCAAAGGAGGCTACAGTGAAAAATATCAAAACGATTGTTTTGAAGTAACTTTAATTTTTAACACAGATAGGATCTATCATAAGTGTGGGGATCAAAATTTTTAACATGAAGAATGGTGCTGTGACATATACTAAGTAGATGATGGCTCTCTTTAACCAGCATTAGCTAATACTTTTTTTTTTTTTTCCTAAAAAGGGACTATAGTCATCCTTTGCTATCTGTGGAGGATTGGTTCCCAAACCCCTCATTTTGTTTTGTGTGGGTTTATGAGAATTGTAGAATATCCACAGTAAGATACTTTAGGATGTAGTGGCAGGGTAAAACTTTTTTCTTGACTTTTTTAGTAGCCCAAAAGGCAAAAGAAAAGAAACAGAAAATACAATAGGGAGATAAAGGTGCAGCATAGGCAGTTAGAGAGGGAAGAGGAGAGCCCAGCTGAGAAAGTGAGTGGGGGCTGTAAAGATGTTCTGCTTTTATATATGTGTGATTTGACTATGTTGTAAATAAATGTATTTTTGCCTTTCTTAGAGTTCCTCTTCCTCAGCTAAGGCATATGATAGAGGATGTTGCCCAAACCTTAAAATTTATGTATAGTTCTTTAGATAGGTAAGTACTTTGAATTGAATCTCAAGTTTTAAGTGTATGATTCTAAGTCACCTTTTGCACTTAATACTGTTTCTTGGTTGGCAAGTTAGTTGTTTGTTTTTTCATTTCTATTTTCTCATCTTTTATCACTGGACTTTATTTTAAAGCTCTAAACAGTTTTTCACTTGATCCCTTGCTTTTTTCTTTTTGGCCTCATATGTCACTTTAGTGAAATAGTGAGGTAACCACAGTTATATTCTGATTTGATATATTTCTGTAGGGGCAAGGGTAAGAGCATTTTTTAAATAATATACAGAAAAGGGAGAGTATAAATGTTGTGTTTTTCTCTGATTATAAGATGATTATCAAATTCACTATACTAAAATGTGATACTTCCTTCTAAAGAAAATTTTAGTGAAAAAAATGTATGCAATCTTAAATAAGAAATAGTAAAGTGTTGACTAGTTTCATGTGTATCCTGCAATATATTTTCATACAATGTGAACATGCATACTTTTTTATGCATATAGGCTCATATTATACATACTTTTCTGCTTCTTCTTTAACATAACAATATAATGCGAACTAATGGAGAAAATTTGAGGTAACTGTTCAACATTTGAACTTGTAAAATTATGGGTGGAAAGGAAATTATTCTCTTTGTGGGAGTTTTGTAAGTCCCAGTACTTCAGAGAGGTAAAATGATGCCTTTGCTTTCAAAACCTTAAGCATATAACAATATATAAATCCAAAGATAGTTTATCCATTTTTTTAAACCACAGTGGTATCAGCTGTCTATTTATCAATGTGGATTTTTGTTGTCCCTGTTCTCAGAGCAGACATAAGGAATGTTCTGTGATTGTGCCATCTGGGAAAACTATCTAAGTTGCAGTAGTTGCCCCCGAGAGTCACTTAGGAGATGCATTCTTTTCAAACCCAATCAAGTATTTATTAACATTTTCCAAATATGTTAACTACAAAAGGCTGGGCAGCCACGAACAGTGCTTTTACCTTTAACTAATAAGGAAATTTTTAACCAATGAAGAGTAAGTATGTGGTTATAAACAACCTCTTTAAATTTATACAAGATGAGCAAACCTTGCTATGTTTTGCCCTAAATGAAACTTTGTTTTCATAAAACCAGAGATAATCAAAGAATTCCTGCAATGAATTCTGTACATGAGGACAGTCAATTGCAACTATTTTGCAAATTCCAGTGGTGTAGGTGGGGGGCAGAGGGACTCTTCATTTCTCTAATTTTTATCTTGAAATTTAGGTTCCATTGATTTGGACGTATCTCCAAGTTGGCAGCAAATTTAACTAGTTTCTTGTTTAAGTGAGAATTTGAAAGACAAACTAAGCAATAAATGTGAAGATCTATTGAGTTCTTAAAACCAAGAAGCAGTATGGCTTTGAGATATTAATAATTATTTTGCAATAATTTTTAACAAGTATTTTTTTCTGATTATGAAAGCTATTAAAGGCCCACTGAGCCACTGAAAAGTGGTTATACATCAACACAGTTTAATGTTGTGATATTAGTTATTACAGTTTCCTTCACCATTTCTTGCCAGTCCATCAGTGTGTCTTATCCAAATCTCAAACCTATCCACTTCTCTCCAGCCACTGCCATCTCTCACTACTGTAACCTAACTGGTTTCCTTGCCTTCATTCTTGCCACTTTAATTTCCAAACACAGTTAGAGTGATCTTACTATATGATCTGGTTCTTACCTACATTTATAATTTCAGACTTCAAATTGCATTGACCT